ATACTCTGTAATTCCTATAAAACTTGCTCGATAGCCACGCTAACGCTAGTTTCATCGGCTGAAGCCGCCATGTTCTTTAGACTGAACTTTCGCGCCTCTCGTTGCGTCACACCTTAACCCGCCTTAAAGTCAACGCTGATTGGACGTTCGTTTGGTGAACGGCTCCAAATTTTCTTCAATGGAGAGTCTCCAGACTGATTAGCGAGCAAAATCTTGAAAGCTCGCGAGATCAGGATGGTCTCACAAGGCTAGTTGCTGCTGTGATGTAGACGCTGAATCGGTCTGTTGTGGTGAAAAGAGAGTTGAGAAAAATGATAAAGCTCTGATTTACCATTAGGTCTACATTTCTACCCTCATTTATGGTCATGAAATCTGGATCATGACCGAAAGAAGGAGATCCTGGATACAAGCGGCTAAAATGAGCTTCTTCTACTGGGTGGCTGGGCTCTCCCTTAGAGAGAGGGAGGAGCATCAGGAAGAGGCTCAGAGTAGAGCTACTTCTCCTCCACATCAAAAGGAGTCAGCTGAGGAGGATCAGACATCTTTTTCAGGTGTCTCCCTAAGTCCAGGGGACGACCCAGGACAGGCTGGAGGGACTGTGTCTCTGCTGGACTGGGATCGCCTCAGACTTCCCCCAGCAGAGCTGGAGGAGGAGTCTGGATAGAGGGTCTTGGAGTCTCTGCTGACCCCATCCTGGATGAAGCGGGAGATGAAGAGCACGACTACGTCACTGCTACATCCAGTCCCTGATTGGTTGTCGTGACGATTGTCGCTTTGCATCCTCCGCTGCCGGGTCGCTGTAATCCTCCAAAACTGTCCCTCTCACATCACTTTGCGTCGCATCGCTCCTGAACGCACCTCTACAGCCGCTCCCCAGAAACAGTTTTGGTGTGAACGCACCTAAAGATGCGAATCTAGTCTGGTTTATTGTTAGGGTTAGTTTTTTTTTTTTTTTGAGTTGGTTCCTCAATGATGAGTTTGGCTAGTTTGATTATTTGAATATGATCTGCAGCTGATGTATCGAAAACACACCCAATACAAGAGGTTTGCAAACATTGTCTGCTAAACAGGAAACAAAAATCACTCTGCACTTTCTTTGAAGATCCGCTCTCTGCTTTCAAACATGTTTTTCACCTTTTTTAAGACGCCTGAACCTTCTGAAGATCAGGCCCTGAGAGTTTGCAGCTGATAGTTATACACAAAGATCCTTTTGTCGGTTATTATTAGACGTGAACCGATTCTCTCTCAGCCCAAGGAGCGCACTGGTGAAAAGAAATCCCCTTCTAATCTAATCTTAACAGTAAATTTAATTAATCTCCGAGCCCTGAGACAGTGTGAAGTCTTAATGGGTAGAAACATTAACTTATGTGTGAGACGCAGAGATAGACAGATGGTGTGTTAATCCAGCCTCACCGCAAACAGTGGACCCCCAGATTAACCCCCCCACTGCTACCCAAAATGTACTTGTTTATGAACATACACTGCAGTTAATCAGAGCCAATACACAGCATAGAATGACAATAATTAACAGTTTTTACCACCCAAGCATGACATTTTACAGTTTCAGCACCATAATTGACGTCTACTCTTCTTCCTTACAAACTTAACACAAAAAATGCGCCTGAAATTGCAAATCTATTTAATGTAATCCAAAAAATTAGGTTGTAATAATTGTTAACTTGAGTAAATCTTTGACAGGACCCCGGCATTGGCTGAAAGTGTCTTTTTGAAGTCT